CATGGTCCATTTTGGTCAATTTCACGGTCATAGGATTTTAAAAAGTCATAAATTTCATGATTTCAGCTGTTAAAATCTGAAATTTCATGGTGTTGTAATTGTTGGGGTCCTGACTCAAAAGTGAGTTGGGCAGGGGTCGCAAAGGTTATTGTAGGGGGGGTTGTGGTATTGCTACCCTTACTTCTGCACTGCTGCTGGCAGTGGCACTGCCTTGAGAGCTGGACATCTGGAGAGTGGTGGCTGCTGGCCGGGACCCCAGCTCTGAAGTCAGAGTCGCTGCCAGCAACATTGCAGAGGTAAGGATGGCATGGTATGGTATTGCCACCCTTACTTCTGTGCTGCTGTCTGCAGAGCTGGACCCTCAGTCAGCAGCCGCCGCTCTCCAACCACTCAGCTCTGAAGGCAGTGCAGAAGTAAGGATGGCAATACTGCAGCCCCCCCTAAAATAACCTTGTGACCCCCCTGCAACTCCCTTTTGCATCAGAACCCCCAATTTGAGAAATGCTGGTCTCCCCCATGAAAACTGTATAGGATAGGGTAAAAGCACGCAAAAGACCAGATTTCACGGTGAGAGACCAGATTTCATGGTCTGTGATGCATTTTTCATGACTGTGAATTTGGTAGGGCCCTAGTGATACCCACAGGTCAGGGCTGATGCACATTGGTGGGGGAGAGTGGGAAAGTTTGCGCCACTGTTCTGCAGAGAAAGGAAGAAACTTTGCCTCTGGGGTTGGCAGTCTACATTTTTACCCATGCACTCAAATCCCACACAACATCTAGAGAGAGAAAATGAGCGCCTGCCAGATGCTCTCTTTCAGATAAAGAGCAGCACAACTCATCATTTCCAGCCTAACTGTCATGCCTCACACTGGGATTTCCCCCAGAATCCAGCACACACTCTGTGGGATGGTGGTGTCGTGCATGCTCTACAAGCCTCAATTGATTTTTACAGAGCCAGAGATCCACAAATTACCTACAAATATATTGTACTGTCAGCTGTCCCCGTGTATCCCCAATAAATAAGGCAGCACTTGAGCCTGAGAACAAGGAGATCTCGTTAATAATGGCTTGGCCGTGTTTCTTTACACCTGCTGGCAAATAGAGTGAATAAGTGAACATTGCACCATGCCAGCCCCCATCTGCAAATGTACTCTTCCTCTAAGTCCCTTTCCCCAGACAAACTCTCACTGTGTGGTCCACTCCAACACTACACACACAGAGACTTTCGATGCTGATTGACTGCTGTGGCCTTCTCATAGGGTGACCAGACATCCCAATAAAATTGGGACTGTCCCGATATCGAGCAGTTTGTCCCGCGTCCCTACCGAATTACGGTTGGGACGCCATTTGTCCCGATATTTTGTTTTGGGCATTTTAGGCGGCGGTGACAGGCAGGGGAGCGCCTTTTCAATTGTTACACTCACCTGGCACGTCCGGGTCTCGGCCGCATTTCGGCAGCGGGTACTTCCTTCTTTGGTGGCAAGGTTTATTACCTGCCGCTGAAGTGCCGCCGAAGACTCGGATGGGTGAGTGTAACAATTGAAAAGGAGCTCCCCCTGTGGCGGTCCCAATATTTTGGAATTCTCAACTGGTCACCCTACCGCCTCAAGCAGCCATCCCCAGATGTTAAGGATATGGTCTTAATCTACCCCATGTATATCACAAACCAGATGCCGCGAGCGATCAGTGTTTTCCCCTCTTTATTTGGTCCTTCAGATGATAAATCTTCTAAACTACATCTTCTTATCTATGGGAAAACGTTCCTCTTGGAACCTTGCACCTTTCAGTGCCCCCATTTAGCTCTTCCCTGGATCAGATCAAGCATGAAATCTAAGTGCTTGTGTAATTCACTGGTCAGTGCGTAATCACATCAAGAGAAACACACAAGTCTTTCATTCTGAACTTGGTGTGCTTCCTCCACACTAGGCCTAGCCCTTGATAACACCAAGAGCGGAGAAGTCGCATTTAATTTAAATATTTTAAAAGAAAATTATTAATTATTATTATTATTATTAGAAGACACTATTAGAATAATGTCCTGCGATAACTGGATCAATGCAGCTGGCTGTGTGTGACATTTTATTTCATGACCACCATGTGCAATGAGAGCTCACATGCCGTTACAGGTGGTGGGTGCCGCTAGAGGCTGCGAATCAGGCATCTCTGCAGGAGTCCTACAAAATGAAAATGCCAAGTTTCTCACCACCCGGGAATGACAGTGAAATACCAGTTTTATCCTCATAGCTGAGCTAGGAAGGGTCTAAAGCATATGAAAGGAAGAGTTTATTGTCTCCTAGATGGAAGGGTGACATTTGAAGGTGTCCAGCTGTTGCTATGCTATTGTCTGCTTCTCATAAGTATGTTTTCCTTTAAGTAGAAAGGACCACAGAGCAAAATACCCTCAAAGATCAGGGGTGTTGGGCGTATAAGTCTGGATCTGGACCCCACAACCATCCCTTATATCTGTAAAGGGCTGAATCAAAATGTCAGATCCAAGACCCTACAATTAAAGCAAATTTAAAATCCATTTTGCAGTGCTACAGCTCATGCCTATTTCTGTTTAAAAGCACTGGGCGCCTGTAACTTTTGTTTCCATCATTTTGCAAAGGGGTCTCAGGCCTCAGCTGGATGCTAGGAAAACAGCCACAGATTATTCACTCTATTTAATCTAGACCTTTGTTTTATGTCTACTGTTGTTTGTGCTGATGGTCATACCTCTTAGGAAGTGGGTTGAGAAGCATGTTATAAAGAAATCTTTTCAGATTTTTTTCACAAAGGCAGGGGTGTTCCTCTTTATACAGAATCCAAAGCTCATCAAGACACAGACAGCAGAGAAATTCAGAGAAATTATTCAGACCATCTCAATAAATTCATCTCCCTCTTTCAGTAATAATGCATTTTGTTTTTCTGAGTCTATATTAAAAGTGTCACAAATCCAATCATAGCAATTCTAATGACCCAAGTCAAGGACATTTCTCCAAATTTGCATCCAACGGAGATAAGTGAGACATCACATTGGCTTTCGCAAATGAAAGTCCCTTATCATTATTATCATCCAAAATCTCAGCCAGTAAAAGAAGCATATTCTTGATCCCATTTCAACTCCAATCAAGCATGCTTTAAAATACAAAACTTTCATCTTGTCATGATGGGGGGAGATATTGACAGCTTAAATGTACAGTGTGAAATTCAGTGCATCTATTAATAGAAAATGCCAGGAAAGTCAGTCAATTTTACTCGACATGAGACATCTTACAGATCATCTGCAAGTTTTTCTTTGCCATTGTGTATCAGCAATTCATATGGCTCTATTCAGGATTGCCTTTAATGTGGTGATCCAGGCATTTTCCAGCTTGATTACTGTGATTCTCTTCACCTACTGTAAGTATGGAACTACCTGTTAACCTATGTGGAGCTCTAGTGACTTCAGCTGTCTCTCCATGTAGGTGTCATTTAGGACTGGGGTCTTAGACAGGACAAATCAGTAGAAATAGGGGTGACATTTTTGTGTGGCATTGAAAATATAGGGGCCCAAAGTATGAGACTAGCAGAGAGAATGTCTCCATCCTGACTTAGTGCCAATTTAAAAATCATTAATAGGATGCTAATGTTTAATATTTTAAAGTACTGAATTTTTAAACATTAACATTTTTCTTCTGATTTTTTTTTTTGTAGTCAGTGCTCAGAGGATGAAAACTTTTGACAGACTCTTCCACTGAGCTCCCGCATTGCCAGGGCCACCAATGACCCCTCACTTCCACAAAGGTGACTGCCATCAGCAGCAAGCTATGAAGTACCTATTTTAATTAAAACTAGAGATCAGCTTGAAGCACAAAGTTGGGACACATACCAAAGCCATGGCTGGATTTCAGGTTCTACAGATTAGTTATAGCGAACAGCACTCTTTTACCTTTCAGATTGTGGGCTGAGAACATGGCATTCTTCTTTGTAACCACAATCTGACACCAGGATGGTATGTTACCAAAACAAACTATGGCCACATATAGATATCATGGTAGTCAGTGACCTGACACCTTAAGCAGCAAGAGCACATGCTTCTAAAGAAGCAACTTTGCTGGCAGTTTGTAAGTAGCAGGCTCTTATGCCTGATGGGGCCAGTGAATATCAGGAGATACAATCCCATACACAGATGCTGGAGACTTGCATTTGGGAGTGACCTCAGACACCTGCTTCCAGCTCTAGTGGACATCAGCTGTGTTTTTCAGGATTGCTGAAGGGAAGTGGTTTAGCATATTGAGCTGGACACTTAGGGTCAAATTTTCAAAGCGCCTCAGAGCCAGGCATCCAGGGTCTCAACACCCACCATTGCGGCCAGATTTTCCAGAGATCAGCTTCCATTTAGGCAGCTAAATAAACACCAGAATTTTCAGAAGTGCTCAACACCCAGCTGTTCTCACTGTGATGCTGACACCCAGATTAGCTTCAATGTGCTCAGCTCTTTTGACAATCTGGCCAGTTCTGTTAGTGCCCAAATGGAAGCTGAGCAGTTTTGAAGATCTGGTCAGTACACAGGGGTGTTGTCACCCCCAGCCATGTATTCCAACCTGTTGGCTAGAAGAAAGAGACAGAGGTGTGGCTGAAAAGTAAATGATAATGGTTCTTTCAAATGCTATTGCAATAGTGTGTGTCAGCATTTCTTATTAAAAATACATTTTTTCTAAACACTTAATCAGTCAGTCTCTCTCTCCCCCTTGCTCTCTTTCCCTCTCCCCCTTCATTTTGCATTGTTATTGCAATGGGGTTTTTTTGCTTGTTTTTGTTTTTATTGTGTGTGGAGTTGATTGGGGAATTAAGCCTGTAATTGCATTGCTAACAAGTATTTCTTAGATACATTTATTTTTCCTTGGGGAAAGGGACTGTTAGGGAAAGAATATACATGTTTTGGCTGCAAAAGAGATAATTATGACATTTGGTAGATAAGTTATTACCTGGATCTTGTTTTAATTGTTTTCTTCTTCCAATAAAATACGGAAACTTTATTGCATTATTTCTTTTATTACCACTTGCAGAATACATTTTGTTCTCATGCTACTTAAATTTGTAAGTACATTTGGGTAGTGAAGATATATTTTACACTAGATGTTGAGAGCCAGCTTGTTAAAGACACAGGGAGCTGTGCATTATTTCTCACTGGTGCAAAACTAATTGGCTTTTCCCAGCCATTGCACAAATATTTATTTTCCATTTTATCATCCTTATAGTTGCAATTTGAATTAGGAAAGGACACGGCAACCTGGCAAAAGCCTACACAGGTGGCATTGTACTTTAAGGCTTCTCAGCAACCAGGGTTCCTCAAGCCAGTCAGGCTGCTGTTGATGTTTAAACTGTGTCCATTTCACACTTGTCCATATCATTCACACTATCCATTTTCCAAAGCATGTTTCTATTCACATTAAACTTGTAAACTTCCCTTTTCAGTAACACCTAATGCCTAGGGCCCAAGACTGCTCTTGGTTAAAACCAGTGTAAGTTGAGGAGTATCTCCATTGAAATCAATGACATTTGCTATAGCATAACAGAGCAGAATTCGGCTCCTAATACATATACTTGAATGGCCCAAGATTCACTGGGGAAGTTAGAGCCAGATTATGACTGGCCGGAAGCAAAACTAAAGGAGCCAGCCTAAATTGCGCTGGGGCTCAGAGAGACTACTCCATGCTAGCTTTAGGCATTGGTGGTTTCACCCTCCTCAGGGTGGCTACCTTCACTTGCCTCTTCCTCTAATGATTTCATCAGCAAATACTATAAAATTCCAACAAAACAGCTACAAGCTAAAGTGAGTGAGGCAGTGGTCCCATAGCAATAACAGCATAAGTTTACACAATGAAAGACTATAATGCATCTGCACAAGGGGGCAGAGTCGTGCCTAAAGAGGCAACTTTAACCTCGGCCTTTTCTGATTTTTGAGTGCTTCACTTTCCAAAATTAACATGCTTTTACCAGTTTTTTCTCAAAGGGAATTTCTTAGATTTTTCAAAAAGGAAACATAATAGACAAAATAAATTTCATTCTGTGGAACTATTTGCCAGACAGCACTAGAACGCTCTGCCCTACATGAAATGCACATACTGGTCCTGATCCAGCGCTCACTGACCTCCATGTGTTTCAGATTGACTCCAATGAGCTTTGGGTCAGGCTGTCATAGAAGCAGAGCCTTGCGTCACTGAGTGCACACTTTGTGCACTGAATGAGACAGGCGCCCTCTCAATATAGTCCCTTAAAGATGGCCTGTGCATGTCTTCACATATGCACCTCACTAATCTTTTGTTCCTAGTTATGTTCTGGCCCTATCCTGACGGCAGGCAGAGTAAGACTATGATGTCATTCTCATCAGTGTTATGGGAAGACATGCTACAGCAGATGGGGGTGTTGTATTGTTGTATTGTGCCCTGGTCAGGTTTTCTGATGATCCTCTTGATAAAGTTGGGAATTAGTCCTGCTTTGAGCAGGGGGTTGGACTAGATGACCTCCTGAGGTCCCTTCCAACCCTGATACTTTATGATTTTATGATTGGGGGAGACCCTTAGCCATAGGCCAGCAGCCAAACAGGCTGGGTTTCGGCTTACTATTCTAACCTATCATCTGGGAATGTCATTACCCCTGAAAGATCATCGCTTCATCGGGAAGTCTTGCTAGCAGTGGGAGAGGTGGTCTCAGGCAGGGTGGAGAGCACTGAAAAACAAGAGCAGAATTTTAAACTTGCTCCAAGATTCAATAGGTAACCGTGCAATGATGGCAGAACTGAAATAATGTGCTTGTTCTGTACTAGATGGAATTTTGATGACTATGGATTCACCTCCAGGTGTAGGGTGTTTTAATAATCAAAGCTTGGAAGTCATGGATACAGCATTGCCAACCCCAAGCATTCAATAATCATGATATTTGTTTAAAATCAGGAAGTTTTATAAAATACATTTTTGGTTTCTTTTTGGTTTCTGGTTTCTAAACCTTTCACAGAGCGCTTGGGTCACATTCACAAGCTTTTCTGTGCAACCATGAGGGCTAGAAATGTAGAGGAAGGGTGTTTAAATGAAAGCTGAGGGTCTCACATGTTCAGATGACTTCAGGAGCTGGGGCTTTATGAAAACCACCAAATATCATGAGAATTGACAACACATGCATGCACTGATGTAGCTAGGTCTGCATTCCATAGGATGGGCGGCAATCTCCTAG